AGATGAAAATGACAACTGAAGATCAAAGACTAACAAATATGAGAACTGAAGTGACCTGGATAGAGCTACTAAATTCTACCAAACTTCCTATGACATGGTTCCTATTGACAAAAAATATACATTTCCACTGTTCCAAGTACATAAAACTAGAGTATAAGCATCTAAACAGATGCATAATCCAAACATAGGCAGAACATACTTTAATTTTACCATCTTGTGATCCTGATGCCAGCATCTCAGAGTCTCTGCTGAAATCAACACAAAGGACAGGGTCATCATGCATCATGAAAGTTTCCTGTAAAGATTAACAATCTGTCAGTATTAATGGACCTACTGCACCCAGAAAAAAAATTTTTGAGTGAATAAAAGACATGCTAAAGTTACTGTTATTAGCCTTCCCTTCAACATTGCTTGACACAGTCATGCACAGCTAGTAATTGGTTGCTTTTAATGTTTATATGGCTAAAATTTAAGTTTGGATTATTGATAAATAGAGAGAAATCCAGCATCAAAACTGATTCAAAGCAACTGATAGATTCCAGAATCAAATATTCTGCTGGACATGAGAATTTAAAATCATGTATAACATCATAGACCACTAATTTGCAATGCCTACGAGATACCTAAGGACAGGAGGTAGATACTCTTAAGTATTCAGAAATCATACTGATAAGTCATAAGAGGGAACTAGCTTGATGAGACCACTTGACAGCTACAGGCAGGAAGAAGATACTCTAGGGATTCAGAAATCATACTGTTAAGTCATAAGAGGGAACTAGATTGTGCTTTTTATTTTCACTATAATTCTGCCCTGTACAGGTCAACATATATTTAATAGATTATGCAGTCCAAGTAAAAATGGTACATTGAGACTCACTGTTATTGGTAAACTTCATATCTAAGACCAAAATGCTAACAGTACACTGCCATCAACAATGATTAGAATATTATCCAAGCATATAAAAAGAGTATCAGTTATTTTTTCTAACTCATCTTTTCTTTTGGTATTAGATATATTTATCACCAAGACCAATTGAAAAAGAATATATTTTCAAGGAAAAAAATTACTCACATCAGCCTGGTATTGAAGATCCTTCTTAAGCTTCCCACTAATATAATCCCAGACCTGTTGACAAATAACCCAGTGACATTCAGGTTTCATCAATATATCTTCAACAAGAGGAGATATTTTTTTCTGATAATATGAACCTCAATAAATCCATCAACAGAACAAGAGACAAGAAACTGCCCATCAGGTGAGAACCGAGCACATTCTGCATGACTTTTTTTCCCAAACTGCATCAAGAAAGCCACAATGTAAGGAAAGGTAGGGAAGATGAAATAATTAAGGGAATTCCCCTATATAATCTTCCATAACTACACCAGCATACTTCCACATATTATAATTTATCAAACTATGGATCATGCTTGCAAAAAAATTTCCTTCCAAATAAAAGATAAGTTTTTAAAAATTGGATCAGCAAACAAGAAACAACACAATAATAGTCATTTAGGTATTAAATGGAAATAAACTTCTAGAAAGCAAGCTTCAGTATCTAAACTACATCTTTTGTTTGTTTATCTTTTAAATAATTATCATTAAAAAAAACACTGAAATGTCAAATACATAAAACTACCAAAGAAAATACACCCTCTCCAAATTTGAAATTTAAGTTATAGGAGGTATGTAAGGACTAAAACATTGAACAAAACTTTTTAAACTAATTGTTTCCGCCTGTAAAAGATGTCATGAGGAAGAATAAGATATTGAAATTTTGTTGAAACATGAAACAGTGAATAACAATTGTCACATCAAAGGACAACAGACTTACCCTGATGGTATGTGTTACAGTTGTTGGGTGCATATCATCTATATCTTGTTTCATGGCAGCTGTTCCTCGAAATAAATCAAACTGTGTTCCTGGAGGAAGCAAACCTGAAAGAACCAAATATAAATGCTTTGTCAAGATATGCATTGTGACTTCACAACTGTTGTCTATACTACAGGCATGGGCAAAGCTTACATGGTAAAACTAGAGTAGTTAAGGAATTTAAAAAAACAATTACAGACCACCCTGGATGTTAAAATATATTGGAATGATATAAGAAATAAACAGTTCTTATACTTGGATAAATAATGCATTCTCCCCACCAAATTATAAAGCCCAAAGAAAGGATGGAAACTAAGATACTTGCAAAAACCAAACATAAAGTAAGAGAAATTTTATGTCACATCCCCAAGAACCCAAAAATGCCTTGTATAAACTTACCTTGATGCTGCTGCCACTTAAGAGCCTGGCCAATCAAAGCCATTAATCGTGAAGGTGGGACAACACTTACTTCAGCAGCAAGAGCTGTGGAAAAGAGAAAAAATAATAAGGTCAAACAGAAAAAAATAGAATAAAAGGTAATAAAATCTATTAAACAAAAAATTTGAAAAATCTGCATGCTATGACCTATTGTTCATTTTCTTAACCAATGATTAATTTCTTATATTCTATGTCACATTGGCATGGGCCTAGAGGTGGATTAGGCAAGGGCAAACTAGCTTCCTAGGGTTTATGATGTGAAGAACCATATATTAACCTTAGAGAATATATTAGGATATGATTTGAGTGACAACTAAAGGTATAACAGTGCCTGCCTCAAAGAAGATGGGTAAAACTGGCTTCTGTCGGTTTTCAGCAGCAAGAAGATTAGGGTTTGATTTCTAGGATTGGTTTAAGGAATGTGAAGGATTTTGTATTTAAAATGTGTATGAAGATTTTTGTCTAGTAATGCAAAAGGGAGTAATTAACTAAGTTAAAAAAGTAGTTACTGTGTTTGATGCACAATTTGGTTAGAAAAACTCACAATATCAAAGAACTCAACCGCAATATATAAATGAATATTATGGGCATAAATAAGCAAATCCTAATTGGACCAGAAAATTTTAAATCATTAGACTTTGGTGATAAACCAAACCATTCTTCATATTAGGTATCAGAAATCACTAGAACCAATTGTAGACTTGTGGATGTGGTGAACATTGAGAAGGGAATATAACAAATAAAAACCTTGAGCAATTTGAGCTCGGCATTTCTCTTTTGTTGAGTCCTGATAAACCTGTAACATAAGACATAGGATAGGCATCTTAAACAAGAGCATTCAATGACCAGAGTCACCAAAATGTGGTACCAAGCTAATAATGCATGAAATACCAATAGAATATGGAAAAAGAAACAAATCAAATGATAAAACTTGCCATAAAGCCATAAATGGCAATGATGAAACTAGCTGTCTCACCTCATTTGGATCAAAGTAAGTTCTGACCAGGAGATGCTCAAGCCTCAAGTATCTTTCAGGTTGCTCCTGCTTCATAAATCCCATTACCTGGGTTTGCCGTAAAATGGCACGAGCAGTGTCCAATTCCCTAAGTTCAATCATTTCTAACACTATCTGCATAACTCCAAAAAAGAGAATTATGATGAGGAGCTGAGCTAGGGGGTCTTGGTGGTGTCAATTGACACCACTCAAATATGCAAAATCTCAACAAATTCTAGGGGGCTAGTTTCTAGACCCAAAATTTTCAAGAATTCCAAAGATTAGATCCACTAATTGATGGAAATTTTTAGCAATAGTAAAGATTAGGATGGCAAATAAGAATAGAACACAGAAAAAAGTGCTTCAGGAAAGTAAAAGGCAGAGAAAGCTTATCTATTTCAAAGGATTAGCAAATAGGTTTGAAATTATGCAGGCAGCTGGCAGATTTTAAGCCAAAAGCCCTGATTAAATATATTGGTAGTAAAACATCAATGACTTAATTTATTCTTATATAAATCTTGCCACACTAAACTCCTTGGTCCCAGCAGGAAAACTGGAAGGGAAAGATTGGCCTTTTTCTTTATTTTATTGTCTTCTGGAAACTGCAAGACAATAGAAAAAGGCTTCTGAGGTGGTTTTTGAACGATGAAATTAGCACTAGCTCTCCCTAAAAACTTTTATTTTACCCAAACACAATGCTATAATACATCATAACAAACTTCTCGCATTTTTGAATCCTCTTCCAAAGGACACAAACACAAACTTTTCACTTTCTTTGACCAAACAACATCAGGGAGGCTCAAAAGTACAGACATATGACACATGTAGCAAAATCAATCTTTTTCCTTTTTTCCATAAATTACACAATGTAGCAGAGAAGTGACACTCAGTGGCATTAAGAAGATGAATAAACCAATAACCCAACAAAGATAGGCAATGAAGAAGGAAAGAAAAACTAGATTATGTTACAATTCACACATGCCTGTTCATACAAATCCTCCAACTTATTCCTTGGAAGCTTTAGCTGAGACACTTGAGGCAAAATTGCATCCCACCTTCCACCATTAATATCCGCAACGAATGTCTCAATGCTGTCCACAGTATTCAGAGAAACCTGACACTCATTCTGTAACGTCTGGAACGTTTGATGCAAGGAATTCTCTTTGCAGAACTGCAGCACAATCTTTATAACACTGAAATAGAAATTAAATTAGAACATGATTATTTACTAATGGAGTAGCAAATTTAGCTTCTTTCAGCATAATGAGGATGTTTTGTGACTTTTCAAGCTCTGCGAGAGTAAAAACGCCGGCGACCTAACCGGAATTTGCCGTGCAACGGAACAGCACTTTGGGTGAGAGAGAAGAAGAATATTGAAGAGTTCGGAAAGAGGGAACTTACTCTCGAGCTTCGATTTCCAGAGTCATCTTCGCCGCAGCGGAGGATTGA